CATTCTCCTCAATCTTCATTTTTGACACTTACTCTACCCCATTGGCATAATCATTCAGGGAATTTTGGAAAGTTCTTTTCGTTCGTGTGGGGCAATCTCCTCCACTGCTCTAACTTACACTAGATATTGATTAGAGGATTTGAGAACACCAGTGAGTAAGATACAAAATTGCAATGTTCAGAACCAAGTTTGAAATTGTTTTCAAAAATCAAATCTCATGTCATAGTAGAATAAAAATGTTTAGACACAGAGAGGAAAATTTTTATGAAGTAGGCAATTAAGAGGGCACAGTGAAAAAAAGGTAAAAAGAGTGAAAGAGAAAAATATATTTTAACAGCAGGAAATGACATGACATGACAAGAAAACGAAAAATGAACGAAAGAGTAGAAAGACAGATGGGAGAACCAGAAGTCAAAACTAATGACAAAAAAGAAAAAGTCCACCTACAGAAGACCGAAAAAAAATACAAGGAGCAAAATGATCTTCCAATTATAAATGTGTTTCGATGCTAAAATATTGCTATATTTTAAAAAATGCCAAGGTAGTTGTATTAGTTTTCGTGCTGCTGATAAAGATATACCTGATACTGGGGAAAAAAGAGGTTTAATTGGACTTACCTTTCCACATTGCTGCGGAAGCCTTAGAATCATGGCAGGAGGTGAAAGGCACTTACGTGGCACTTACATGGCAGTGGCAAGAGAAAACGAGGAGGATGCAAAAGCAGAAACCCCTGATAAAACCATCAGATCTCGTGAGACTTATATGATACCGTGAGAACAGTATGGAGGAAACTGCCCCCATGATTTAAATTGTCTCTTACTTGGTCCCTCCCACAACACATGGGAATTATGGGATTACAATTGAACATGAGATTTGGATGGGGACACAGAGCCATATCATTCTACCCTTGGCCCCTGAAAATCTTACGGCGTCAGATTTCAAAACCAATCATGCCTTCCCAATCAGTCCCCCAAAGTCTTAACTCATTTCAGCATTAACCCAAAAGTTCACAGTTATCCCAGACAAGGCAAGTCCCATCCATCTATGAGCCTGTAAAATCAAAAGCAAACTAGCTACTTCCTAGATACAAGGTACAGGTATTGCGTAACTACACCCATTGCAGATGGCATAAATTGGCCAAAACAAAGGAGTTACAGGGCCCATGCAAGTCTGAAATCCAGCAGGGCAGTCAAATTCCAAAGCTTCAAAATGATCTCCTTTGACTCCATGTCTCACATGCAGGTAACGCCGATGCAAGGCGTAGGTTTCCATAGTCTTGGGCAGCTCTGCCACTGTGGCTCTGTAGGGTATAGCTCCCCTCTTGGCTGCTTTCATGGGCTGGCATTGAGTGTCTGTGGCTTTTCCAGATGCACAGTGCGAGCTGTCGGTGTATCTCCCATTCTGGGGTCTGGAGGATGGTGGGGTCCAGAGGACGGTGGCCCTCTTCTCATGGCTCCACTAGGTAACACCCCAGCATGGACTCTGCATGGGGGCTCTGACCTCACATTTCCCTTCCACACTGCCCTAGCAGAGGCTCCTCATCAGAGCCCTGCTCCTGCAGCCAACTTTTGCCTGGGCATCCAGGCATTTCCATACATCTTCTGAAATCTAGGTGGAGGTTCCCAAACCGCAGTTCTTGACCTTTGTGCACCCACAGGGTCAATAGCACATGGAACCTGCCACGGTTTGGAGCTTGCACTCTCTGAAACCATGGGCTGAGCTGAACCTTGGGACCTTTTGGCAATGGCTGAAGCAGCTGGGACACAAGGCACCACCAAGTCCCTAGGCTGCACACAGCATTAGACCCTGGGCCTGGCCCGTGAAACTACTTTTCCCTCCTAGGCTTCCAGGTCTGTGGTGGGCGGGGCTGCCATGAAGACTTATGACATGTCTTGGAGACATTTTCCCCTTTGTCTTGAGGACTACATTTGACTCCTTGTAACTTATGCAAATTTCTGCAGCCAGCTTGATATTCTCCTCAAAAATGGGTTTTTCTTTTCTACTGCATCATCAGGCTGTAAATTTTCTGAACTTTTATGCTGTTTCCCTTTTAAAATGGAATGCGTTTAACAGCACACAAGTCACCTTTTGAATGCTTTGCTACTTAGAAATTTCTTCTACCAGATACCCTAAATAATCTCTCTCAAGTTCAAAATTCCACAAATCTCTAGGACAGGGGCAAAATGCTGCCAGTCTCTTTGCTAAAACATAACAAGAGTCACCTTTACTCCAGTTCCCAATAAGTGCCTCATCTCCCCTTCAGCATGGACTTTGTTGTTCATATCACTAACAGCATTTTTGTCAAAGCCAATCAACAAGTCTCTAGGAGATTCCAAACCTTCCCACATTTTTCCTGTCTTTTTCTGAGCCCTCCAAACTGTTCCAACCTTTGCCTGATATCCAGTTCCAAGGTTGTTTTCTTTTTTTTTGGGTATCTTTTCAGCAATGCCCCATTCTAGTGGTATCAATTTACTGTATTAGTCCATTTTCACACTGCTGATAAAGATATGCCTGAGACTGAGAAGAAAAAGAGGTTTAATTGGACTTACAGTTCCACATGGTTGGGGAGTCCTCAGAATCATGATGAGAGGCTAAAGGCACTTCTTACATGGCGGCACCAAGAGAAAATGAGGAGGATGCAAAAGTGGAAACCCTTAAAACCATCAGATCTCATGAAACTTATTCACTACCATGAGAACAGTATGGGGGAAACCACTGCCATGATTCAAATGGTCTCCCACCAGGTCCCTCCTACAATATGTGGGAATTATGGCAGTACAATTCAGAGTAAGATTTGGGTGGGGACACAGGGCCAAACCATATCAATAGCATTCCTTATATTACATCATTCTTTTAATTTTCTTAAGTTTATAATAAAAAAAATTCACCTGGACAATTTCAAGGAACACCAGAGAATCAAAGTATTGTCCCTGCTGTAGTTTCCAACTGGCAGGGCTGAGCACATTACTTTGTACCATTTGTATCCTTAAAAGCTATGCTGTGTCACTATTAGCTCAGAAGGTTTTTTCTTATTTATTTTTAATATACTATTTGTTCTCTTCTAAACTGTATCTGAGTATTTGGAAGCCAAATAACTAAGATTTTCACAAAAGTGTAAAATTGAGGTACATAGCTTTCTTTTAAAATGTTGTTGCTTTACCCTCTAACTTCTAGCATCCCAGGAGTCTAATAATCAGTTGCTATTTTTTTCTTTTTTTAGTGTCTTGATTTTTAGTCTGTTAATGATATGAAAATATTTAAGATTTTCTAGTCATCCAAATAATAAAGATAGACTATAATAATATAAATTCTAACCTGGAACATTAAAAATAAAATTAAAAGAACCATTTTAATAGGAGATGATAAGGGCTAAAATATAAACCAGATCTATGTACAAACTAATAATGTAGTAATATTACTTTCTCATTTAGCAAAGTTACACAAATTCATGCTAAATTATGATTTCATAAACAAACACATACCACTGGAGCGCAAGGATGGATGGAAAAAAAAACACAAGTTTCTAGGTTTAATAGCTTTTAATACAACTGAACGCGTGTATTGAAATGTGGCTATTTTGAAGGTCCTGTGCTAGAGGAAGCTAAGGCACAGGGAAACGGGAAGAGATGTAAGAAAAATGCACGGATAATCACATAGGTTATAGTAAGCATTCCAGGCAAAATACTCACATGGGTTATGAAAGGTTTAAACAAAGGGGTTCAAAGAAAGAAGGCTCCGTAAGCAGCTGTAAAAACCAAGAAATCTAATGGAGGAGATGCCATTTGAGATGGGTCTGGAAGTATGAGTTAGGATTCTGAAGATACAGAGAAAGGGTATATGACTTTTATTTCAACTGCTATTTTTCAGGTTTCAGTAGTCACCTTATTTGATGTCACAAATTTTGGTGATGTCTTCCTTCATTTCTAGAGTTTAATAAACCCTCTGCTACATGCCCTCTACTGAGGATGCATCATGCCACATTAACCACTATTTTCTGGATAAGTCAAGTATTCTGAAAAATCACTCTGCCTCTGCTTAGAGTATTCTCTCTGCTTGCTTCGCATTTTTTCCCTGTCCTAAAGCAGGCTGCACATGAGTGCAGAAGGCGCAGTTCATTTTCGGTGTCTTCCTTGACCCCCACCATCAAGGAACACGCGTGTTCCTCCACTCAGGCCAGAGGCTCCCGAGCGAGCGCAGAGGCCGCGGGTCGGTGCTGGCCGGGCTGGCCGCGGTCAGCGTTCGGTGCGGGCAGACTCGGAGGCCGAACGGTGAGCCGCGCTGCGCGGCGGGGTCCCCCTGGGAAACAGACCCTGGTCTGCGGGCTCACTTCTGCCGGGTGCGAACCGCTGACAGGGGCGGGCCGAAGCGCACGGCGGCTCGCGGCAGCACCGGCACCAGCACCGGCACCTGCACCAGCCGCACCAGCCGCAGCACCAGCACCGGCACCGGCACCAGCCGCACCAGCACCAGCAGCAGCACCGGCAGCAGCCGCAGGAGCAGCGGCACCGGCACCGGCACCAGCCGCAGCGCCTCACTGCTGCGTGGCCCTCAGCGCGTCTCGCGGCGCTTTCCCTGTCATCTAAACGCTTCTCTTCGGCGGCCTAAGGTGGCCCTTCATTTTCCCCCCGAATTCAGGGAAACACCTCCCTTCTTTCAGAATGTGAGGAAGAAACGGGGTTCTCCCGGGGCCGAGAGCGGGGATTCCCCTCCCAGAAACGTGCCATCTGCCACCCCGCCCACCCGCACCGCGGGCGAGGGCGCCGGCGGCTTCCGGACGCCGGGGCAGGGTCTGCAGCCCCGCGGGCCGCGCCTCGGCGGCCCCCATTGGCCGTCCCCGGGGCGCCCGCGCCGTCACGTGCTATGCTAATGAGGGGGCGCCTCATTGGCTGCGCCGCCGGCTCCCGCGCGCCGGGAGACCGAGGGGAGCGGCGGGTTGGCCGCGCCGGGGGCCGGAGCCCACCCCCCGCGCCTCCCGCCGGCCCGGGCGGCGCCGCTGCGAGCCCGCCCGAGGGAGCCGCCCCCGCCGTGAGCGAAGGTGCTCCCCGTCCGGCGCTCGCCGCCAGCCCGCCCCGCCCGCGAGGCGCCGCGCGCCTGCTTCGGCGAAGTAACTTTTTATACCGCCTCCCCCTAGTCCTGGGGACCAGAGGCGGCGCCGAGCCGGGGGCGGTTCCTTGGCAGCGCCGGGCCCGTCGGAGCCAGACTTGCGCTCCCGGGCTGGGTCTGCAGCATCCCCGCACCCGCTCCGGGCGCGCGCCGGCCCCTCGGCAGCCCCGGCTTCCGGCGCGGCCGACCCTCCCTGCGGCCCCCTCGGCCTCCGCAGCGCTCGCTCGCTGTCTCCCGGCTCTCCTCCATTTGTCGTTTGATGTTCCCACTCTTTGAGGAAGGATGGTTGACCTGGAGAGCGAAGTGCCCCCTCTGCCTCCCAGGTACAGGTTTCGAGACTTGCTGCTGGGGGACCAAGGATGGCAGAACGACGACAGGTGAGCGGCGTGCCCGGGCTTGCCCAGCCCGTGCTGCTGGAAAAGAGAGGGAAATGGGAGGGCCGAGGGGGACGGAGGCTGGGGGAGGAGTGCGAGGACGCTGATTTGTCTCTCCATTTTGACTCTGTGGAACTGTTGCCGTAGATGAGGAACTCTCTTTCTTGGCACTTTTCTTACGCTTGCAGTGCATTTATTGCACTCATTTGGCGAGTGCATTATTCTTTTGTCTGTGTGTGCTTTTCTAGGATGTGTGTAAGGCTGGTATCAGAGGTACCGTACACGCAAGTGGTATGCACTGTCAGTTCCAAAAAATTTGCGTTTCTTCCTTAGGGGTGGTTAATCAAACTAAAAATTGCATCCAAGTTGTTTGAAAAAGCGCATTAGAAACTTAAAATCTCCTGCATCTATTTACCTACTACTTGTCTGTGTTGCCTTGAGTAGGTGTCTACTTGCCATTGAAAATTTTATGCTGTTTAAACATTTGATGTTTTAGGTAGACCACTGGTTTAAATATGTAACAGGTAGTTAGTGATAACGGCAACCATTGCATTCGAATGTATTCACTTTGAACAGGTCACTCTTACCATTATGAGTAATGGTGTTTGTATAGCATGATACAACATTTTTATAAGTAGTATATTTTTAACTGAAACAGTATATATGTCCCAAAATTACAACTAAGTTTCAAAAGTGGAATATTTATTGTTAGCAACATATCATTTATGTGTTTTATTTATAGTATTACTGCTTTGCACAAACTTCTGAAATTTCTCCCTCTATTTCTGTCTCATTGTTTAAATAGCGCATTTTTTATTTCAGTGCATTTAATGTTTTCTGGAATAGTCATCTCATATATCACATGCCACATTTCTTTGTTTTACAGTAATACGTGTATACTTACTAGTTGAAATGTTTCCTTAGTTTGGTATTGATGTTCTATTTAATTATATAAAAGATCCATTATTGGTCCAATCCAAAATCCCCTCCTCAATGACCGCTGGCCAGTACACTGTTTCTTTTCCTCATCTTTACAGCTCCCAATACCAACTCCTGTCTCTACACACTGAGGATTTTATCTTGAGTATCAATTATGGGCATCTTGTCTGGTCTCATATTAGTAATTTAAAGGGAGATGCATGTTTTGTAGAGAATATTTTGATTCAGCCTCTTATTTAGGCAAAACCACATATATTGGCTAAAAATTTAAAGAAGTAATACCAATTCTCAGTATTCTTGTAAAGTGTTTGGATAAACTGAAGGTAAAGAAAATAATTTTTAAGTGAATTTGTAATATGAATTGACATTGAGATAAAGTGTATTAGCTTGTGTAAATGGCTTATCAAATGTAGCATGACGTTCATAGTGACTGAATATATATTTAGTTCAGGACCTCAGGATCATTATATAGAATAGATACCCTCTTTGTAGAAAGTTTGAGATGGATTGAACACATAAAAACACATACGTTGGTTATAGCGATGGTAATGTATGTTTGTTTGTTTTTAAATATATCTAAGATGTAAATTTTCATGTGGTTGCCCTCATTTTTCTAAGTATGATGCAGAAATATTTTAGTATTTAAGAATTTTGGTTAGTTGAACGTGCCTAAATGAATCACTGGTATATTAAAAAAGTTTTGCAGAATTGTTAAAATTTTATGTTATATTAAAAGCTTATGCTAGCCCAACTTTAACTTACAAAGCAGGCCACTTTTACTACCAAAATATTAAACATTTAAAACAATCATTAAACCATTTTTAAAGATTTGGCTAATTTCGTGGCTTCGTGGAAAATTAATTTTTGGTTTTGGTTCCATTTGTTTTTAATCTTTGAAGGCAAGATCCTTGGAATCAGAGAAACCCACACTTGAGTCCTTGGCTGTTTCCTTCACTAGCTGAGTAGTCTTGGGAAAGTTCTTCAGCCATTATGATATTCAGCAATCTTATTTTTTTATAATGGGAATAATACTATCTACCTTATAAAACTGTGACAGTGGGAAGGATGGAGAGGCACAGACAGAACTAACTTGTAGTTGGAACTAAGTACTGCTAAGTGCTTTTACCTATGAGATATGTTATCTTAATCCCCAGACAAACTCTGAATACAGGTAATTATGTTAGGCACAAGGAAACTGAAATTTTGGGAAATTAAATACTTGTCTTGGATATTATATCTTATCTGTGTAAAGATGACTCTTCAGTTCAGTTCATTGTTATTTAAATCCCTGAAGAAATTCTTAAGTTTTTTTCACTTAATTTATTTGAATTTATAAGAATAATTTACAACACCTAGCATGGTTTAGGTGCTCATTAAATATTTGTTCCCTTCTTCACTTCTGATTTGCTGTTTGCAATCTTTTTTTTTTTTTTTTTTTCCATTTTTAGAATCCTAAGCTAATATGTAGTAGGTAAAGTCGTCTTCTTTGTCTTTAATATGGTGACAAATTCCTCTTTGCAATTAAGCCTGAAGAGCAATCTGATGCTACCCAGTTTTATCTTCCTGGACTCAATTCCTAAAGAGTTGAACAGGAAGCACTCTTTCATGTGGGAGTAGGCAGATCATTTCCAACAACAGATACATTTAGTGTTCTGCCCGTATTCTCAAAGCAACTTTCTTTGAACACCTCCTGCATGAGGTTTCCTCCCCACCACCAGCCTCAGGAGCACACCAGTCCTGCTTGGAGAACAAGCTAGAGTGTCACTGAGTAAATAGGCTGTTGTTGAATCAACTCTTTAGCTTCCTTGTTCCTTAGCTTGGATAATTCTGGAGCATGTTCTACACCATGTCCAAGGGGACTGAGCTGTACTTGCTTGCAGTGATAACTGGCTTAATACTGCAAACTTTATTGGCTTCTGGCCCTCTCCTTCCCTCCTGGTATTTTATTTGTGATCAATTCCCAAATAAAGTGTTTTTGTTGCAATCCTATCACAAAGTCACTTTCTTGGAGAATCTGAATCAAGATAGCTGTCTTCTGGATCTAGAGAGTTACATCCTTATAATTATGGGGGAATTGTGTTCCAAATGTGGGAATGTAAACACTTTCTACCTTGCTCGTCAGTTTAAGAATTTCCATTTTAGGTCATAGCTGACTGGTATATGAAAATAAATGAAGCATATGATAGATGCTCAAATGGGTGTTGTTAAAGACATAATATTGATGGGCCTTTTATGACATAGGAATTTTGTATTCCATACCATAGATTTTCTGTGAACCAAATTTGGATAAGTAGGTCACCCGCATTTATATTGTGCCACCTTTTGTGTAGGTAAAACCACATACGCATATACTGGCATAATGTACATGTAAATAGTGTATAGGTAACAGATCTGCATTGCTTTTGTAATGTGTATAATATTGTATATTGTATGCTAAAAATTGTATATTATGTAATGCATCATATATTACAAATATGTGATGAATAATGCATATTATATGTAATGAATATATATATATATGTGCGTATTATTTTAATGCCATCCTTAGATAATTGCTTCTCTCTCATTTGCATTCTGATATCCTTTTCTGAGTCGGACATATGGGAATAGGGTTAGACACAGCAGTGCAGAGAATTTAGCACATGGATAACACTACTGTGAGGCCATAAAATAAATCTGAGAGTTGCTAAATGAGAGTATTGCTTATGTGTAGAGATGTCTTTTATATATATGACACACACACACTTGTTTGGCATTCTGAGTAAAAACCAAAAATCTCATTCAGGTGGTTTTTGTGATCTGCCTTTAATGGCCATTTATTCATTCAGCTAATACTTGAATGCTTGCTATGTCTCAGAGCCCCATTATGTTAGGGTTTGGGACAAATATAGAAAGGAATATGAAATAGTGCTTGGTCTGGAGGTGGTCACAGATATAAGAGGTTAATTCCCCCCAGAATATTGACAGTATTGTTTATGTTATGATAATGCCCTTATAGAATTTCTGTTTTAAGACTGTCAAGAAAATTTTGTACCATTTGTAGAAAGGATATTCAGCATTTGCTTGACAATAAAGTAGCTGAAGTTACATACTAGAGATGGCTCAAGGTATTCAGTATTCAATATTCAGCTCTTGGCACCAAGCCATTCTTCTGCCTTGGCCTCCCAAAGTGCTGGGATTATAGGTGTGAGCCGCTGCTCCAAGCCTGTTTTCTGTTTTAATATTTCTATGATTCACAAAACAATAAAGATTTAGAGTGTTCTCCTGCAGTTAAAGACTGATAAGTTACAGGTTTTAAAAGTTGTCAGACAGTTATACTGTCTCCTCTTTCATCATGATTTAGTAATTTTAAACTTTGGAACACAGTGCACTTAATGTGAATAAATGGTCACAATTCCAATTACTGTTAATGGAAAATTCTCAGTTGTGGCCATAGAAGAGAAGGTCATTTATTTAATTAAGACCATTCTAGTTTTCAATACTCAGGTGACTTGTTGAAAATCCAGCAATTTCAAGTTTATCTTTTTATTTTATAGGCGGCCTTTAGAAGTAATTCAAGCAAGTCACCTAATGCATTGTAGTTAAAACGTTAAATGATTTGGATATAGTACAAGTCAATCAATTAACAGTTAAAGAGGTATTTTCAAAAACAAAAATATATCAATAGCATTTGGAATATGTGTAATATATATACACTACAAAATATATTGCTTTACATAATCAAATTCAGTTGTGAGAATGGGTTTTGGATTGGCATATAAAACATTTTTTTAATTAGCAATTTTTTACTCCGTAGTGAATTATATATTATTTTGAAAAGCAGCCATTTATTATAAAATATTTATTCTAAGTTCAGTTTAGTTAAGACAATTTAAAATTTTCTAGTGCTATTAAAAGGAATGCAACTTTATTTTTACTGTATAAGAAGATAGTGGAATCAACTATGCATAATGCCTAATTCAATATGCAGATAAAATATCTACAAAAATGATTTAAGCATTTATTGTTAGAAAGAGTTTAGACAATCCTGTGTTTCTTAACAACTATAATAAAAATATCCACAA